ATTATCAAGTATATATATTTAAAATTTTATATGAATTAAATAAATATTCATTAAATATAAGCAAAAATAGTAATTATAATTTTTTTTGTAATGCATTATATTTAAGCTTTAATATTATTATAAATATAATTAAAATTCTTATGTTTTTAAAATAATATAATATTTTAAATTTTTTAATAATTAAAAATTTTTAATTTATATAAGCTATAAGTATTTATAATATAATCAAAAGATATTTTTTATTTATTTTATATCTAGTAAAATATTTTATTATAAGTATTTAATTAAATTCTAATTTATAAATTATTATTATGATTTATACAAAATAATATAATAATTTAGTCTTATTTATATTTCATATTTTTTTAAGAAAATAACTTAAATATTATTTTCTTAATAAAGATAATGTATTAGTAATAGCAGTTTTATTAGCAAATAAAGCTTTTTTTCAAGCTTTATTAATAAATTTTATTATAATTTTTAAAGTCATCCTGCGAAAAATTATAATATATCTCAAGAAATATTCAATTTATTAACAATTATTCTGGCTTTTTTAATAAGAATTATATTATTCAAAATTATTTAATATTAATAATTTAAAATAAATTTCTTAAGTACTAGTTTAAGAGTTAAATAGATAATTAATTTATGTTACTTCTTATTTAAACTAATAATTTCTGAATTAAGTTATTCTTTTATTATTTATAAAATATAAATAATAGTACTTTCATTTACTTTTAATTCTCATTTTTTCTTAATTTAATTAACATACTAAGTTCAAGTTCTCTAATTATTATTATAAATATAAATATAAAGTTTTTATTTTAGTTTTAGTTAGTATGATTTTTTTAAGAAATATTTTAGAGATATTTAGCTAATTTTAATGATTTTAATGTTAAATAATCTTTTCTGACTAATACTAATTTGGAATAATCAGTTTATATATTAGTAATAAATAGTTTTTACATTTTTTAATTACAAGTTTATAAGAGAATTCTTAGAATTTTTTTGATTTTTATTGTTAAAGAATTTGAAATCACTTTGATATAAAATTATAAAAGTTTATAATTTTTCAAAACTTAATTCTGCTATAATAATGCCATGTCAAAACTTTTCTAATGATAATAGTTTAAAATAAAAAAGGTTTTTTCAAAATATATAGTAAACTTTAAATAATCAAACTATTTAATGATTGATTAACCTATTTCTAGTCACGTAAATATATTTATAGAGTATTTTAAATATATCTGGAACTTGTAATTTCATGCACGTGTGAAATATGAAGGGTGTGCACTTAGCTCTAAGTTTTTAGCTTGAAACCAAGCCATGAAGTGCATGTATAGAGGGAATGCATTTATAGAGGGTGCACTTATGAAGATGATACTGTAATTATTTTAATAATTCTTCTGTTACTATTATAGTAATATAACCAAAACATGAAATACATATTTGAATTATTCTAAAATGATTACATTTTTAATATTCAAAATTAATTTTTATATTATAAAAATCTTATATATAATATTGAAATTCATAATAAAAATTCATATATTTAGCTATATATTTTATCATATAAAATGTCGAATTTAAATATTAATGTTACATTGCATAATTTAATACTAGCCAATCAAATGATTTGTTTTATAATTAAAATCCTCTTACAAAAATATAAATTTACTGTGTTTTTTTACTGTTCAGGACTATAATTTAAACAAGAAAAATTATTGTAATAAAAAAAATGGTTTAATAAAAAGCATTAAAAACTGTGCCACAGATGGCATTACGAATTAGCCTGTTGTATTCGATTTCGAAATTTAAAAATTAAATCGTTTTTGAAATCAGATAACAATAATATTTTTTGTGTTACATGAGATTCGCAGAGTTTCTACATATATTAACGTTAAGTTAATATCAAAAATAAATAAATAACGATAAATAAATATCTCAAAAATGGTTGGATTCATCTCATCAAGTCTTTCGTTTTTTCCTAAAATCACAATTTAAACGGATTAATGCAAAATATACAAAATATACAACTACTAAATTAAAAAAAACCAACTCACTCGTATCGAGAATCTGGTCGTCCAATTTCACCCACAGGCGACGAAATTACGAAACTTTCCATGGTTGTAGAACGAACTTCTATAGTTCATTACAAGAATTAATAGCATTATTATTAAATTAACCAATTAATACGGAAATTTACCTTCATTCACTTTATTCGATTCGCCATCACTATCTATGTGTGACCGTTTCACTCTACCTGTTCACCAAATACTTTTAGTCGAAAGTTCAAAATAAATGAAGCTGAAATATTAAAATGTTTTTACCAGAACTAAAATGTTCCATACTGATATCAAAATTACGCCATCGTTCTTTCGGCACCCCTCCTCCTCCGCCATCTTCTTCTTTATTTTCCTCATCACAATCACTTTTTTCCTCATCATCATCTTCTCCCGCAAACAAACTCTTGAAACTAGTGTCAAAGTCATGGCTCGGCGGCGGAGACATTAATTCGAAATCATATAACGAGCCGGCGGTAAAATCTGTGATTTCTTTCGTCTTAGGAAAGAGTTCCTGGCTAAATAGACGGCCGATTTCTGGCGTTAAGCCAGTATGTTGGGATTCGCGAACACCAGGTGGCAGGATTGGGGTATAGAGTTTGTCGTTAGAACCGAATGAATCTTTACGACTGAACAAGCTCTCTTGAAAATTTTCTTCAAAATTTTCTTCAAAATCTTCTTCGGAGTCGTCGGGATCATGGAATTGCTTCGAAGAACTTCTTAAAATTTCGAAAGCAGAGAATTCGGTCGTAATTCCAGTCGTTTGATTGCCAGTCTTTATGGCTTGTGATTTGATGTAATTTTCCATTATTGGGGACTCATCGATTTTTTCTAACCGAGTTATTTCTCGCTCACGTCTCAAAGTCATATCTACTACAGAAGACTTCCGAGGCAAGATGTTTGAATTATTCTTTGACGAAGAGCCGCTATTGGTGCTATTGCTATTCTCATTCTTCAACGAGAATAGAGAATCGGGGATTTGCGTCAAGTTATTACTATTAATGGCGTCAGAAGAGAATGTGCTCCGCTTTGACGAACTACAGCTACTACTACTATGTTGCTCGTGTTCCGAATTTATGTAATCACCTGAAACTCTTTCTATTTAAATATTATAAAAATCGTTATAATATTAACGTTAATGCTGTAACGATACGTAATTAGATTTATGAAAAATACCATTCCAATTTATCAGATTGTCGTTTTCGCGGCTTTCTGCTGCTATTAAATATCAATAATTCGAGTCTAGGATAATATTATAATTAAAAATTATTATGCCCAATAAAAAGTTACCAATGAAATCCTGATACTCGTCTTCATTTTTCGATGAGTCACAAAAATCTGCCATGGGAAGCAATCGACTCGAATAACACGCTTGCGGATGAACAAAATCAATATTTGATGATGGCGACTGGTTTAATTGCTCTTTAATTTCGAACTCTTCAATCCGTTTCTCTTCCACAAGCATAAAATCTTTTTTAATTATTGATAATTCCAAATCAGCAAAATCAACTTCTTCCCACCATGACCACAATCTTTCTTTGACTTCGTTAATTGTCGGTCGTATACTCAAGGTAGTGTCCCAACATTGTTCCATCAATTCACGATAACATTTCGGCATCAAGCAATCTTTTGTGTTCGGTCGTTTACCATCACAAATGTCAAACATCAACTTTGTGTCGTGGGGACGATCCGCAAAAGGCGGTTTACCAGTTGCAATTTCCCACATTATCATGCCAAAGCTATATACGTCCGAAGCTTTAGTATACGGTTCTCCACGAAGAATTTCAGGAGCCATGTATGGAATAACACCCAAAATCTTTTTCTGGTCTGGAGACGGAGTATCGACCGGTTCGGATAGACCCAAATCACCGATATATGAATGATGTGTGGAGAGTTGAAGAATGTTCCCAGTGTGAAAATCTTTGTGAATTATTCCGGCGTCGTGGATATTACTTAGACCTTTCGATATGTAATAGAGTATTCTGAGACGTTGTGGCCATGTGAGTATTGCATAGTTTTTGTGAATGTAGTATCGTAGGTCGCCGTATTGTGCGAACGGCATTACTAACATGTAAGTTTGAATGGATGGATCTTTAGTGATGCCCATAAACCATAGTACATGTGAATTAGGACCGGTTTTATTTGCACTTCTCTGAGATTCAAACTAATTCAATTATTGATATTATTAACTTTTTCATATATCAAATCAAAAATCAATTAAAATTAAATAATTTTACCTCATGCAAGAAATCGCCATCTTCCTTATTTTTCGACACTTTCAAAGCGACTTTATACTGTGGTCGTCTCAACCACTCACCACGTTCCTTATCCCAATAAGCAATTGGTCCGTCAATCCAAATAGCCGAATATACTTTCCCGAATCCACCTTGCGCAATATACGTCACTTCGCGAAATCGATCAAACGAAATCCACTCAATCAGCTCTTCATGATTGGTCGCAGTCACTTGTGACTCTCGAATTATTGCATCAATTTTGACATTACCGCTTGTCCATTCCGTAAACTGCTTCTTGAGATGTTCCGCGGTGCATTTTTGGCAGTAGTGTGGTGCCGTTAATGGTGATTTACAGTTTTGACATAAGTCGATTAGTGCGTATAATGGATACAAGTCGGAGTTGCTTGACGAGCTGGGCGAAAATGGGAGCGGTGATAAATTGGATGGGGATAAGTATATGGAAGCGGAAGTTGGCGTGTCTGGGTAGTTGAAATGATTATTAGGTGATGATGAAATGTCTCTTCTTGGTGGCATTTCTAAATTTAGTTGATGAGAGCTTGGTGCTAAGGGACTAAAACTGTCTGACATTTTATGATTGTTGATTTTATTTTATTTGAGATTTCGAGTTCTGTTTGCTTGGTTGTTTTAATTAATTGCGAGAAAAAAATCTAACGTATTTGTGAAATATTATTTATATTATAACACATGTGTTTGCAAGATACGCATACATTAATTTATTTGCTTTTTCGGATTTATTGTCTCTATTTATATAGCAACTGTGCTGTACCACGAAATGACAAAAAGTTAAGGTGTACAAGACAATAATGACAGTAACGTCTAGATTTAATTAAATTACAAAACCAATGTAATCGAAATAATAATTAAAATTTAAACATGATGGATTTGGCACAAAAATAATCGTAATTCTTTATATTTTTGGTATCTTAATCTCAAAGTTACATAATAAGCTGATTTACATTGCTACATTTAAATGTCATTAAACACAGAAACTTTACAATAAGGGGGAATGTTCTAGGAAACCGGAGCAAACCCGGAACGGAACCTGTTTGACTTTATTATTGTACTGTGGATCGATTATCATGTTGCGCCACACGGTCCAAATGTGGCTTAAGTCATCATAGTCTATGCCGGAAAAATCCCGGTGTGATTTTGAAAAAATTCCGAAACTAAATCTTATTAGTCAAAGATTCTTGACAAAGATTTTTGTTATAAGCACTAAAACTACATGATGAAATTGTTAACTAAATATATATGATATAAAATTTTGTTCTCAATTCTAATTTCATTGTCCATTCTTGTAAGTGCCATAGATATATTATTAAGCGTCGAATTTAACGCTTTTTGCGTTATTATGTACAAGTTTATTGATTTTCTTTATCTTTTTTATGACTTGCCATTTATATGCGAAATACATGTAATAGTTCCTACTATAAACCGACATATATGTAATAAAATTTCATTGTCATAACGAAAATCTTCAAAAAAAACTCTTGTGCACGACTATATGCAGTTATTCGGTTTTGCTTAGGAGGCATTTTCATAAATAAACGAGCATTTTTGTTCAAATGAAATAGGATAATCTACAAATCGATTTTTTATAGTACATATATATAAATTGCCTTTTTATACCGATTTATTCCATTTTATTCCGATTTGTTTCAAAATTCCGTTTTATACCGACACTATCATAAGTGAAATTCATTCACGTGATTAAACCGGTCAATTTCAAGTCATGTTCTAAGTTAGCGTTAGTTCTAAGTTGCAATTTGAAATCACGACTTGGCATTAAACCAATAGAATTTTTGCACGTGATCAAACCGGTTTATACTCCGGTTTCAACTTCAACGAAGTCGTGACATGGTTTGTCTACAATACATGTACAAAATTGCCGACTTAGCTGATTTCTTAGGTGTCAGGATCCAATCATGTAATATTATAGGCATAGATATATATTATCGGTCAGGTGGAGATTTTATAGTAAATTGAAATCAGCTGATTTCTTGGCGTTTCCCTAATATCAATACAAAAATACCGTAAAGATAATACACTTTATAAAGTATTTCATGTCGAGATTATTATTATGCTTGTGATTGTAGTAAATGTGCCGAATGCTAAGAAAATGAGCTCTGCTGGAAATGTTTATATGTCACAAACACCTTTTTTATGGTCATGGCGAAAATAAATTTAAACGAGATGGAGAATTAAAGTCATGTTGGAAATCATTACACAATTCAAAGCAAATTAACTCCGGAGTTCATAAGCGAATATATTTTCTAAAGTGCAGGCAAAATTTCTTTTGTTTTTTAATATATTCAAACTGCTTTAAAGTGCAAATATCGGAATAACTGCTACAAACGAATACTTAATACATGTAGTAATGCTTACGCAAAAGATGGAGATTTTCGAAATATATTCAATTCCGAAAAATTACCTTTGATTATATTAATTAAATAACTTAATTTTGATTTCAAGCTCTAACAGAATTCATAACTTTCATCCTGAAAATATATTAATGTTTAGAGTTTACTCAAATTTCTGATTTTGAACTTATCGGCCAAGCGGATAGAGAAAAGTTAGAACTTGTGGAGTACATGTACTTCCTTATATGAATCAATGGAAAGTCATACATAAAGCTCAGATATTTATAGATTTGGAAATAGAACATGATATGTATACTAAATTTTAGACATAAAGTATATTCGATACTTAAGGAAGTGGAGAAATATACGGCAGTTGTGGTATATATTTCGAAACTTTTTGGAATAGAGTATCAAAGGATAGCATTAGTTTAGATATCAATATGATGCGCCTGCTTAGTCACATCAAATACATTGAAGTATAAAGGATTTGTGTACAAATGTTTAAGCATTAATATATAATTATTGATTTGCTCTATAATATAATGTAATTCTTTTAATAATTTAGTGAGCAGTTAGAATTTTTCAAAAGGACATTTTTAATAATGATGCCAATTTTCAGCGCGTGTTGTATCATGTGTGTTATTTTGATTGGCTGAATTTCATTATGCAAAAATCTAATTAGCATTAACTTTGGTAAAATTCAACATTGGCGCAGTGCTTTATGTGTAGGTTGTGCGCATCATACAGTTATTTGACTCATGATTTTAAAGAATAATATTTTAATAATCTAACATTATCTATATATATTTATTTAAGGAATAATATATGATATGGGGTATCTTCACTAGTCTTGAGATCCGAAACTATTATAAAATTGAAGAAAAAATAAAAGAAAGAAAAGAATCTTTGTGTCAATATACCTTACAATTGAATTCCTCAACATATATCATCTAAATACAAAGACATGACTTTCCGACAAACTGATAACCAAATTTATTAAAAGTATTCATTTATGCAGATAAACTATGGACATTCATTTTTTTGGCAGTTGTTTAAGTTTAAAGTGCATTTTTGTGCGTGTAGAAAATGTCAGAAATAATCGGTCATTTCTTTTCGTAGGTGATTACAATCATAAAATGTGCTCTCTCGAGATTATTTATAAATTCAAGAAATAATTCTTTAAAATCTGGAAAAAAAGTATTATCATATACAGACGGGAAAAATTATCACATGACAAAAAGCACGTAATACTTTGAAAATGAACAATTGACATCCTCTATTAAAGAAAATTAATTATTACGTTACACTTATAGAATAATGGCGTGTACCCTATTAAAAATCTTCGGGAAATTAATCTCGTAAGATTATGGCGTGATACATATATTAATTTAAATGTAGGAATTGATTTTCGGATTCTGGTTTTTTCGTGTTAACGTTAAGTTGTATTAGTAGTATTGTTAAATTTGTAAACAAATCAATTTGGAAGATTAAAAATATGAAATATGAAAGAATAGCATTTCAAAATTACTAAAAGTCATTAGGAAACTAATGCTCTACTCTATTCCACGACGAGTTGCTTTATATTGTAATTCGTCACTGAAATTACAAAATTAATTGCTCTCATACCATATTTATAATTCGTATCATCATCAGTTATTCTAATAAATGAAATAAAAAAGTAGATTGCATGAATCGCAATTGTCATTGATTTTGTATATCACAAATTTTTCATATTGAATCGGAACATATAATAATTCGATAAATGGACACATTTCTACCGCAACAACATTTTCTTCGATAATAACTAAACAATGTCTAAAATGATAACACCCATAAAAGACAACGAATTTGACATAATAATAAAAGTGTCGTCTTCACTGAACGTACTTTCAGTAGTGTCAAGTTTCGCTGTGATCACTATTTATCTGCTGATGCGGAAATATTATCCAGCGATGGTAGATCGTGTGTCGTTGAGATTGGGCGTAGCGACAAGTGTCGCGGATATGATGTATGCTTTTATACAGTTAACAATCGTTGTGACAAAAGATGTAGGGTTAGGGTGTGGATTATCGGTATTTTATTTTTATTTTATTTTTTTTATTAAACAATCGAAAAACAGAGCATCTTTTATATTTGTTTGCTTTAATTATCAGGTTTGGGCATTTGTTTTTACGAGTCTACTTGCGGTGTTTTTCTCGTGCTGCATAGCATTAGCAAGTATCTACAACCATAACCGATGTGCTCTTTTTTTTAAAAAAAATTTAATTAATGATATTTTTATTCTTATAGAATCTTCAAATAATGTTTCTGCACGAATACAAAGGACATCGAAACTTCGAAAAATATTATTTCATCGTATCAATATTCCTGGCAGGATTGATTTCCTTATTGCCAGTGACTCAATCAATGTACGGATACGACAAGCCAGAACAGTAAGACATAATTGTTATTTCTTCTCATTAATGGTGATAATACAGTATATATTATAAATTTCGAAAAAATATTTAAAAAAGCTTATGTTGGTACCGAGATACCGGCACACGACAAAACATCATATGGCAATGGACCACACTATTCGTGTGGCTCGAACTTTCAATAATCTACTGCGCGATAGTATTCATAACAGTACTATTAAAAGCAAGAGCATTACTAAACAACAAAAAAACCTACAAAACCAATATGAAATATTTACAAGATCTCGGGTCTGGTGATAGCAACAACCCATATGACTGTAGCGATATAAGAAAATACCCAACAAAGACATTCCACCTGATTTCGATGATAGTCAGAAAAATCTCCTGGTATCCTGTTGTGCCAGTGATTACTCAGTCATCGAGTTTTCTCGTGGAGACTGTCGCATATAGTGAAAAGCGGTTATCGTATATGATATTGTTATTGGCTATTACGTGTGTTTCTATTCAAGGTAAATTTATAATTATTAAATAGTGTCTGCTGTTAACTAATATTTAACCCTACCAAAAATACGTACTAGCACCTTTTTTTTAAAATTACTATTTTTTCGTGTTTTAAGTTTTATTAATAAAAAAGAATGCGTGAACTTATATTAAAGATTCAAAATTTATTAACTTGGTTTATTATTGTTTCAGGGTTTCTTAATGCATTGGTTTTCGCGAATGATATTGCTGTTACGCGTGCATGTCGAGCATTAAAAGAATATTTATGGCGAAAATACGTGGACGAATATGAAATCCGGTATCCCCACAGATCACAGAACAAAAGACACTACAACAAAAATTCATCCATGGAAATCAAACGTCAAAAGATAACCAAAAATGAAAATATCCCTGAAATCGTAATTGAAAACTCACAAACAGAACTGGAAGCTTCTATCAAAAATCAAAGTTATAACAGAAAAGAAGATAAAAAACTAGTTCAGATATGGGAACCAACCTTGCTCGAATACATTCAATATCAAGCAATAAGCAAAATCTTAAAAGCGCCCGAAGAAAAATTGAAAATAGAAAGAACCAATAGTAGAATTAACAATAATGATAATTCAACAAAGCGCATTAGTAAAGATAATAAGAAAATAGAAGGGTCAAAGATTTTGTCGTCTTCGTCGTCGTCAGCACTAAGTGTCCAAGAAGGTATTTCAAAATTCGCAAGTTTAAGAAGGCAAAAAGAAAAAAAGTTTGTCTACATCTGAACCACAATTTTCATCACCCACTTTCCAAAAATCACGCAATGGGCAATTATTTTAGATGTACCTACCAGGATACCATCATCATCGTTGACGCTACCGGCATATCGGAACAAAGCAGAAGATTACTCGGAACATGAGTTCGGAAATGATGATGATCGTGCTGCATCGTCGCCGATTTCCACGACGTTTGGTATTGGGAAAGAGGAAGAAGAAAATAACCAAGAAGGGAATGGTGAATATTTTGTTCCGAGTGGTTTAAGTGATTTTTTGACACCTTCATTAAAAAACAATAATGGTATAGATGAAGAAAAGGAAGTTGATGATATAGAAGCAGAGGATCTTTTTGACATATATTGTGAGTTTAATGAAGTCGAGGGGGGCTGCAATGAAAATAAATTTAACAAGAAACGGATGAAGAACGCTTTTGAAGAATTTATGCGGAAATTGTAAATCATATTATTTATGTCAAATAATTTAATTTGTTCCAATATAAAGAAATGTAATTTAGCTTTATTAACATTATTGATTAGTGTTTAGCGTTAGATTCACAATTCTCTGCATAAAGCTGAGTTGAAGCTTTGTATTAAAAAAAGCAAGTTCATAGAAATACTGTATATGCAATTTGTTTGCACAGTGCGTCTCTTCTTTTGACTGTTGTATTTTGAATTATTTGAGCTTTGCCAGTTTATATATCAGTAATATTTCTCTTGCTCGTAACGAGTTTTTGAGTCACATTTGTATAGCTTGGCAGCTTGTGATGTATGTTTGAAAATTCTGTTATCTGAAAGAATTTCTTTATTTTTTCAAAATAGGCACTTGATCTCCTTTTATTAATATCGATACTGTTACTGCTTTTTATATACCTCTCATTGCATTTTTAAATCTACTTTAAAGATAATCTACTCATATCTCGACGTCCAGTGATCTGACACTTGACATCCAGTGTACAATTCAAGCAAAAATGCTACCACTCGATTCATCTAGTCGAGATGAATCGGATAATAATTTTGATTGAATCCGATCGCTGTGCGTCAATATGTTTCATTGTGTGATGTATGACGCATTTCAAGTTTAGTAGACGACATACATGTATATAGTGTACTGAGCAAATCGAGATACAATTTCACATCTCAATTAATTAATTATCGTGAAACGTCGTGCAAACTACCCCGGTTCTCTTACATTCTCGTTCTACCCTCATGTAAATTATACCCGGTGGGTATATTTAAAAGGAGAAAAGGTCTTTATATTGGGGATTTTGTATAAAGGGAGTATATTAAACGGGGATATATTTAATGGAGAATGTAATAATAATGATACCTAAACCCGTAAAAAATATCATATCAATTTAAAATGCAGTAGTTTTGTATTTATTAATTTTTATCATATGAATCGAATTTCCTTAATCGAGCATGAGTAGAATATAAATACCGATACCGAATCTGAATCACGGGATAGTACGATACACAAAACTCATTATCTATGTACAAGACCGTCTACATCATGGGGTATGATACAGTGAGGGGGGGGTAGTTTGCACGGCGTTTTACGGTGCATGTATAGAGAATTTTCCAGCACCCAAATTGTGTATGTAATATAATCACACAAAAAAGTATTAAAGGATTTGTGACTATATAGAAGTCAAAATTCATATCCTGCTTCATGGGAAAGGTGATAGAGTTGTGATTGTATAGAAGTATGTATGACTTTCAAAAAGTTAATTTACTAAACAAAATGTGATTGTTTTGAAAGATAATGATGCATCACTATGATATCGAATGCAAAACCACATGACAATACAAGAAATAGTATTCTAAATAAGGAAATTGCAGCACAGAAAAAATTTCTTTATGAGGAAACTAAAACATTATAACAATAATATCAACATGTGATGATGATATCAGACAATATACATGTACATGTATTTCCTCAAAAATATACAATCGAATATAACTATAGACATCAAAACTTCGTCCATACATATAGAAGAATCCGATGGTTATACGTAATTCGGTCATGAAAATAATAAAACACAAAGTAAAATATTGACATTCAAGATATCGTCATCGTCATAGCATTAATTTATCTAAATAACGACAATACATAAAAAAGTGATTAATCCTTTTACTATCAGATGATAACTTCTCATAGGACACTCACTCCTTACCAAGATTTGTGGCTTAACCCTATAACCGAACCTTACTATGTATACTTTTTTGGTTAAAGAAAAAAGTTTATTTACATTTTTTGAATGGATATTGCTCTGTTTGTCATTTTGCACAAAATTTACTCATAAGGAAAGAGAATTGAATGGATATAGTTTTGTTTTGAATTGACCCACCGAAGAAAAGATAATACGTAGTGTTCTAAAATAAGGAAAGTCTTGGTACCGAAGTGTGTATATATATAACGATAAGTAAATGATAACGAAGAGTAGAATTAATCATATTTATATATGTTAAAAAAATGATTTTTCCATCATATGAAGAAACTTTGCTATCTGAACCCAAAAAAATCATCAAACACTTTTTTCACTTGCACAAACACGCCTCAGGACTTGAACTTGATAAGAAGCAACCGATCGTTATTATCGGTATTCACGGGTGGCAACCAAAGCTAATGCAACCATTTGTAAAATTAGAGTCGAAAAGTTTCTGCGTGAAAATGGCTGAAACAATCCGTCAAATGTTGAACTTAGGTCCAAATGAAGGCGATATTACAAGTATTCCGTTGGACGGATACGGGACAGTTTTGAAACGACGAGATGCTTTCTTGAAGCAAATACAAGGCAACAAAACGTTACGTGAGAAAATCAAAAAAGCTAAAGCTTTGTTTGTTGTTGGACATTCGCAAGGAGTCCCAGTTAGCGTTTTTTTACTACAGAAACTAATTGAAGCTAGATTGGTTGATCCCGATCAACAAACAATGTGTGCTTTGTTGTTGGCGGGGATTTCGCAAGGACCGATTTCGAGATTCGATCCTGCAGAAAAACTTGCTGAAATACATGTACTAAACAATGATCAATCAGAAGAGCTATTTGATTTTCAAAAATCTTCGTCGCCAATATCGCAGGAATATCGTGATGCTACAATTAAAATTTTAAAGCGTGGAGTCAAGATTATATATTTTGCTTCTGGAAATGATGATAAAGTTCCGGTAAATATCGTGCATATTCTATACTTTACAAAAATTAAATAATATCTAATCAATCTCTTTTAAATAGCTTCATTCTGCATTATACACAAATATGGATCACCCGTCAATTAAACGTGGTATATATGTCGCCGATTCTATATATAAGGAAAAAAGATTTGTAGCAGATCTAGTAAGAATACTTATCCGACTCCGAAACAATAATTATTCCGATCATGGTCTATTGGTTCTCCTGAGCAAATCTTTAATTAAATTCTTAAAAGACCATGACCACGTAGATTTATCCGAAGAACCCGAAGCCTATCAGTAAGTATAATTTTTCTATATCATATTTTTAACTATATTATTAATATTTATTTTGAAAATATAGATTGGCAGTCGACCATTTATACGTGTCAAAAAAATACAAAAATGTTCGTGCAAAATTCACTGAATTTGATTACACATTACCTGCAAAATCACGCAAAACTTACATACCATGGGCAATGCGTATAAATAAGCTATTGAAATTTATCTTTAGACATGTATTTATATTTTTATATATATCTATTTATATTTATGTTATTGTTGTACCTTTATGTTTGAACAGTATATGTATTTATGCTTGTCTTTTTGTTTATGTTATATGTTTTATATGGTTGGACAGTATTTGTCTAGGGATGTTAAGTAGTTAAATGAAATCAGCTTTTATCGGTTTTAGTTTTGAACTTTATAAATCAATTTGAACTTTTTAAATTTAATCGTCTATTGATTTGAATAAATCAATAGTGTAATTTGATAAAAACACATTACGCCCGAATTGATATTTTATCTTTAAATTTATAATGTGAATTCGATAAAAATTTGTTTTGCAATGAAAAATGAATTTTTCAAAGACTGATGATATTGACATTTGCGAAAATTTAACATTGAATGATTTGGATTTATTTAATTATACTTTCTCTGACAATTTTGATGATAATACAACATTAAATTATAAGCACCTTGAAATGGTTACGATGAATGAGGTTGCTGATGAGAAGGTAAACAAGGTGATGAATATTGTTCAGAATCTGGTAATTCTGGTAATACCAAAGTAGAGGAATGGATGAACAGGTGATTGAGATTTAGGTAAATATTCACGATTACTATGGGATTCAGAAATAGAAGAAATCTGCAGAAAAGAATGCAATTGTGAAGTTAGCCACCTAATCGTGGACTTTGCATGAATTTTCAATACCATATCTAATAGTTCAACCGTCAGAATTATTATTAATATAGTAAATTCGCATTGTAGTTTTTTGTACACTTGTTTTGATTGTCTTTTTTGCAAATGAATCTATTAAGCTCATCTAATTTTCTTTATTTTTTGAATTTAGTGACTTCCTGATTTTGAATTGGAGATAAAGAACTTGCTATTATGAATGAATTGAAAGTAAACTTGTTACTGATATTCGAATTAAAGAGGAACCTGTTACTAATGATTGAATTAAAGAGGGTAAATCTGTTACCGGCGAAAATGTTAAAGACTTTTCAGATATCAAAAATGAAGATAATGTTATTGTGCTTTCACTCTCTTCTCACCTTAGCAAAATCAAATCTATTTAAATTAGTAAGAGATTGCTTTTCAATAATTCTCTATTATTGTTATTTCACAATCTCAGATATTGCCTTACTTAATTTCTTTGTGAGTTAGTTTAGTAATTTTAACTAGTAATTTTTCTGTTATTATTATTATTATTGTTGTTGTTGTTGTTGTTGTTGTTATTGTTATTATTATTATTATTATTTATTATTATTATTATTATTAATTTTATTATTATTATTTTAATATACTACAGTGTAATCCTACTCTAGATGTTAGAAACTATATTAAAGTACAAAGAATTTAGCTATTCTATAAACAGTTTCCTAATATACAAAAAGGGCTACTAGTAGATATGTATCAATATGATTAGTCACTGATAGGCCAATCTAGAATTAAACTGATAATGTGAAGTTAACTTTTGCTTTATAAAGTTAGAATATATTAGTTTGATATGATCTGATAGAAGATAAATATTATTTGTGTGATAAAATGAAGAAAGCTGATAGATACATAATTCTGAATCAGAGTGAGTATAAAGAATTAAATTTTATTATTATTATTATATTATTATTAATATTAATATTATTATTATTATTATTGTTGTTGTTATTATTATTATATTATTATTAATATTAATATTATTATTATTATTGTTGTTGTTGTTATTATTGTTATTATTATTATTATTATTATTATTATTATTATTATTATTATTATTATTATTATTATTATTATTATT